ACTTGAATTTTTCACAAGTTGTTAATGTGTTTTCTCAATTTATATAATTATTTCTTCCAAATTCTGTTAGCTGTCATTTTTAAAATTATTTATGATCTCCCATAGCAATTTATCAATTTAAAAATAAACTTCATATTATTCTCTATTTTTTTAAACTGTATACTTATTATAAAGTAGGCAGGCTCCATGATACAATTACATAAACAATTCAGAATTAGGTTTCATATCAGATATTGAGTTAACAATACAATATAGGCAACCATTTAAAATATCATCCCTATCTTTACCATCATTTTGGGCTATCTGAAAAGAAGTTTTTGTTAAGAAAACGTAAAGTTCCAATTAAGTATGAATTAAATCATTCTTCTCTATTTCTATTTATTATCTTAATTCATCACAAATATCCACAAATTGCTTTTACGTATCACAGTTCATAAATCTCTAATCCTTACTTATATGGAAACTAAATATCACTTTAGATAGAGAAGCTGTCGTCCTTAAGATGAATAAACATTTAAATGAATCCGTTCTGACATAGATCAAACAACTTTTCAATAATTTTAGGATTCCATCAATAATTAAGTTGTATGATTTCAAGACTTTTTAGGCATTCTTGATGAGTTTATAAATGTTTTCCTCTTAAAAAATAAACCATTATATGGCTTCATTATTTCTTAAGCTTCTGATTGATTAGCAGCAACAGCTGCTTTAGAGTAATTCGTTTAGACAAAAGAATCAAATCTAGTAATGAAATTTTCTATGTCTTAGATATCAGACTTTAAGACTATTTCTGTGTTGGGTATTGTTTTAATAGAGCCACAACCACCTCCACGTAATGAGGATGTTATCTTCTTCAATCGGCCTGACATTTTAATAAAAATTTAAATAATAAATCAACACCGCTATAAAAATGTTTATAAACTTGCCTATTTTAACAAATGATAAAATTAAAAAAAATCTTTAGTTCAATCTTGAATGAGTGAATATTTTTTTTGTTATTTATTTAATTTAAAGTTTTATAAACTTAA